AGTGATCTCAGCAACCTTACATTCTTTTCTTTGGGAGAAAGAATGTGGTTAAGTGAAGCAAGATCATTCAATATTTTGTGGAATCTTTCATCCAACATATCAAATGATTCTCCGGGAAGCATTTTGAAGCTTTTGAACTTCTCAAGCAGGACTTCTATCTTCTGCTTTCTCAGGTCCTCTGATCCCTCACATAGCTTCCCAAGACCTTGCCAAATCTCCATGGCAGTCTTGAGATACTTAATCTTGGAGAAGGTGATGGGATCAAGTGTCTTGAAGATGGCTGCTTTGGCGACGTTGTCCAGATTGTGCTTTTTGCAATCTCTATCATCCCATTTTTCTTTGGGCTTTCGAATGTACTGGACTACATCTGGAGCAGCTGGATTCCTCTCAGGGTTCTCCATTTGGATTTTCCAGGGTCGATCCTCAAGCACCATCCACATGCAATCATGTAGAGCGTAGAGATGTGCTTCCATCATGATCTTCCAATCATCATAACCTAGAAGAGAAAACTTGGGCAAACCGTGATCCATATTGTTCAACATTAGGAGCGCTTCTCGTTAATCTAAAAGTAGATAGTGAGAAGTATGCTCCGATACCAATTGGTGATCCCGAAGTGGTGAGATACAAAGTCTAGAGGGGGGGGGAATAGACTTTGTTACAAATTTAAAAACTTTTTCGTTTCTTTTGAAAACGTGAAAATGAGTGTTAATCTAGAGTTCTTGTGAGCTTTAGATTATGTGCGGAAGTTGGTGGGTAGAGTGAGCAGTAATCAATATGGATGGGTTAGTTTTCACAGTTAATATAATTGCAAGTAAAAATAAAGATAAAAGAGAGAGACACGCAAACTTTAACGAGGTTTGAAGGTGGGGTAATCCTTCTACGTCCTCAAAATCCACTATGTAGTTGGTCGTTGAATAATGAACCAACAATTACACTTGTGTGAATTTTTGCACGGTATATCTTCGCAAGGCCAATGTTGCTACTGCACTCCTGCTGGCTTTGTTGTTCCTTCGAAGGTCACGCTTCTTCAACAACTGCAAGGTCTGAACAATAGGACTTGCAAGACCAACTTGTAAGAAAGTTGACCTACCCCCTGAAAGTCGGTTTACACCCTAAGAGGGGGGTGAATTAGGGTGTTTGCAAATTTTTCGTAGAAAACAAAAACTTATGCGCAAAGTAGTAGCGAAAAAAGAGCAAGAAGGATATAAAGGATAAAAAATACGACACTGGCGATTTTATACTGGTTCGGGAACTCCCTACTCCAGTACCTCGAGGCTCCTCCTCAAGGATTTAACCTCCACTAACTTGTTTGGCTTCACTAAGAAGACTCAAACGAGGTTTGGCAAACAACCCTTGCCAATAAGCAAATGACATTTTACTACGGCTATCTCAACCGTTTACAACCGAAGATTTTAAGGCTATCTTCAACCTTACAATGAGGATTTAGAGGCTATCCACACCTTTTACAAATCAATAAAAAGATTGGTGTTGCTTCTCTACCAAAATGATAACAAATGTAAGTTGGGTACGAGAAGAACAAAAGATAAAATCAACAACAACAAAAGCCTATAGGCAAGATATAAAATAATGAAGCACAAATGCCCTTGTGTGTGAGTGTATAAAAAGATGAAAGCTTTTTACTCCAAAGTGTAAGAAAAATAAGAACAAGGCTTTAAGAACACTCAAGAATAGAGAAAAGAGGCTTTAGAATTAATTGGGAAGTTGTTGTTTTTAAAATGAGGCTTAAAGGGGGTTTATATAGGAGTTTGGAATGTTAAAATTTGAGTTTTTGATGTTAAATGCCGTTAGGAAGTGATTAGGGTTGATTTGAATTTAAATTGGCAATTTGCTACAGTGCTGCCAACTTAAATTGGCAATTTACCTTTACACAATAATTTCTAAACTCGTAGGAGTATATCTCGGTGATGCTAAACAAGCTAATAGAGGTTTGGCGTTTGGTTTCTTCCTCCAAATGATGTTAGTAGCATTTGGAAGACTTATTTGGCACATCAAAACGGTTACGGGGTACGGCTTTCAAGGCCAACAATCTCCCCCTTTTTGATGTTGACAAATAAGGCTTTCGAATATAATAATCAAGCGCACAAACATATCGTGAAAAACATATATTGATTTAAAAACTCCCCCTAAGTTGATGCACGTGGTATTTTGACAAAAAACTCCCCCTAAATGTATGCATATTTCTCCCCCTTTTGGCAACATTCAAAAAGGCGGGGGTACCAAAAACACGAGTTTCAACACATAGGCATTCATCATGGCAACAATTTTAAGCATTCAAGTATTAGCATCAGATCATAAGCATAATCATAACAAAGTTTGAAACATAAACAGGACAAAGAGTTTTAAAACTTAGGCAAAATACATAATGTTTGATCAATATTGTCAAATGCTCAACACTTAGCGGCGTTTAGAAGCACGATCCTCGTTTTGCTCTTGGCGATTCTCACGGTCCTCCATCTTCTTCATCCGATCCGAGAGGTCATCGAGGCTTTCTTGAAGTTTCCTCATCGGATCCACTACGGTCTTGAGGATGAATTTCTTGAACTTCTTAAAGGGATTTTTGGAAGTTGAAGCCATGTGAGAGTGACGATGCATGAGAGAGGCCGAGGGAGCATGAGACGCCGACTTTGAGAGTTTGACCCGAGGAGCACGAACGGGGACTTCCGTGTTGGCATTTTCTTCGGCTTCGGCTTGAGGAGGATGAATCTATTTGCAGGTAAGTCTTGGACATTTGGCCTACGAAGAAAGTAGTGTGGGTCCTCAAAGACATGGTCAAGGGCAATGTTATTTAGTACTCGAAGGCAAGAATCGGAGTTAAAATCTCGTGAGTCGGCAATCCACCCCTTTTTGCAATAGCTGGAGACTCCTTGGCGCCCTAGGTGAAACCATTCGGAAAGATTTTGGGTGTTGAATCTGAATGTTTTGCTGGCTACAATTGCGGTAATGGAAGGGTCTTGTGGATGATATTTCAACGAAGAATAGAATTCATGAACAAGTTCCGGGTAAACGGGGGCTTGGAGTTGAAGAAAGAAACTCCAACCTTGTTCTTGAATAAGTTCAAGAACGGGAACCGGGATGTCATCTTGTTTAAGGGTTCTTCCCTCAATGATATGTGGGTCGGCGTAAGCCTTGAACCCGGCTTGAGCATCAACTTGATCATTGGAAACAATTTCACTCATTTTGGGAGAAAATTGAGAAGATAATGACTTTTTGGGCGAAAAGAGTAAGAATTGATACCAAATGGATGGATTGAAGATAATACACGAAGAATTGAATCTAATTGATGATGAAAATGATGAAATTGGAATGAAAATACCTTGGATTGAAGGACGGTAGAGTGAGACGGGAGGAGACTGTAACGACCTGAAAATCGGCTTAGTAGTTAGCTGTTATTTTTAATAAAAATAAACATAATATTTATTTACTCTAAAATATGAATTATTGGTAAAGTTATCCGTTTTAAATGAAAATTGGGTTTTCGGGTAAATCTCGTAAAATGGTGACCAACGATATATAGTTTGTTAAATTCGGACTTGCGTGTAAAGCGTGATGACTAAAATAGACATTATAGTTCAATAAGTAAATATAAAGATTTTTATAATAAAATATTAAATTATATTTCCTAATACTACCCGTACACCAAAACCCTTCCCTCCCCTTATATAACACACGCACACAAC